AGTTTAAACTGTATTTCTTTTATCCTGTAATATGACTTGAGAGATTTAAACTCCGCACACTGAGTTGATCTCTTTTCTATAGACGCCGGAGGCGGGCAGCGTCAGGTAAAAAAAGTTATTTAGCCTTCCCAAACCTGAGCCTCACGCGCCGCCTATGGGGGATGTGCTAGTGACTTATCCGACCGGCCCACTTCGGTACCGGCCCATCGGGATTCGTCCCGATGGCCAGTCCGCCACTGCACCCAGCCCACGTAAACTGTCAACGGGGGGAGCCTCGCTGCGGGGAAACGGTGGATCTAGTGTCCCGATCGGAGTGGGAATAATAATAATAATAATCCGTGCATTTTATCCATTAATTTCCCCAACATTGTGGTAAACAAAACACACGTTTAATCCATGTTGGTGTACTACAACTACAAAAAGCATCGGGTGGTTTTCTCATCAGGAAATGCAGACCGGCTCAAACAAACGATTATTAATCATCATCCTCACGATCATTTAATGTATCATATGTTCGCCGAATTGACATGAAAGCACTAATACATGTAGTTTCATCCACTTGAGTTTACAACTACAAAAATAATCGATTTGTTTTTATATCACATCCTACGGGAGGAAATTCAGTAGCTCTCACTACCGATTTTTAATCCTAATGTAATCATCATCTTCACCACGATCATTTATGTTTATGTTCGCCGAATTGACATGAAAGCACTGACAAATATGAATATACTGTAGTCAACTTCATTACAACGTTATTAACGTGCCTAAACTCAGTAATTCACCATTTCTACGCATGACAACATACTTTGTCCGTGTTTGGCTCTCTCGCCGCACAGTGAAGCGTTCCCGCATTGACGTCACTTCCGGCTTCCCCCAAAACTTCAAAATGAGTCGAAGGAATTTCCCCGCGATGTTCGAAATTATTGATATTTACGGAACGCTATCGCTTTTTCTTTTTTAAACTGACGGTTCGAGATTACTAGTAGCCCAATATTTCATTGCACAACAGTTGTTGGGATGGTGTCACAGGCTCTTTAAGTGTTTCTTATAGCTATGCAGGGCATGCAAGCGAGCAAACACAAACAAGAACAAACAAACAAGTAAAATGAAGAATACAATTGAAATTGTACAATATAATATTGTGGTGGTTCATCTTATAATTCAGTCTAGAGAACCAGACAGCATCTAAGACCTGCAAAAATCTAAATGTTCTAGGGGGAGGCCCCCCAAACCCTTCGTGCCATTTAGTCCGCGCGCATTTTTCAGGGCAATCTCTATTGGGCTCAGGGCCATCTGTAAATTAGCTAAGATGGCCCACATTAAATCCTTAATGTCATGTACTGAGTGTACAGTACAAAATGATGCAACAAGGAAGGGTAACGGCAGAGACCCCCCCCCCCCGCCCCAAAGACAAATGCCGTGGGGATCCACAAAATGAGCAGACACCCGGGAAGGGGTCCTCTACGGCAGTGCTTCTCAAACTTCTTTCAGTAATGTACCCTCTTTGAAACATTTTCTCAGTCAAGTACCCCCTGACAGATGTAGTGGAAATTGTATTATATCCTGATATGTTTAAACCAAATGCTTCTCATTTGGTTAGATGTGCTGTTTGCCTCTATCTACTCTACTTCAAGGTGTGAGGTATCTATATTACTTTGTAAGAGTAAACCCCATCTCGGTTCAAATATACCAAAACCCAGTGAACAAAGATAACAGGACTCATGTTTCCAGTTTACTTGCTGCAAGGAGAGTCAGCGAGTGACATGCCATGTCAACTCCTTAACCAACTCTCAGCTAGGAGAATCGGCCCTCAGCTAGGAGAACCAACTCTCAGCTAGGAGAACCAACTCTCAGTGCAGTCTTTTTATTTCAACAAACAGTAACATGAGACAATCATGTGGTCTTGACCAACGCCTTATTTGTTAGTGTGGATCTTGTGACTCTCAGTCATGTGAATCTGTGTGTGTGTGTATGTGTGCCATTTTAAACAGACTCTTCTTTGTTCCTCCATTAACACTCCTTGTAACACAGCAATGAGAAATACATTATGAAAACACAGTTTATGAAAACACTTTTATCCTTCAATAAACTCTAACATTCCCTCCTGTTTTTCATAATTACTAGCTGGTTACAGTGTCTTTATAGTCATTAGCGTCAGACCTAGCAGGGTCACTACACACAACACCTTTCCCAACATAGTCTAGTTGTGATAGTGGTTCTGTTGTTTTCTTCACCGGGGTTGAGACCAGTATTTCCTAATGAAACACCGCCCTTTGTAGCCGGACTTCCACCACTTATCCGTCGTTAAGTTGGAGAGGTATTGTCTTTTTGCAGTGGCTCTGATGTATCCACGTAGTTCTTTCAGCGATTTTTACTGCAGTCGGTGTTGTCAGCAGTACCGTGTAGGGACCGTCCCACCGTGGACAGTGCCAATGCTTCCTCTTAATCACCTTCACGAGGACCTGGTCACCAGTCTGCACTCGAGTATCCTGTAAGGGAGTAGAAATGTCTGGCAGGTTATTTGTTCGAGCTATCTCATTGCTTCTGAAGAGTCTGCTCATCCATTCAGCTAATGTAGTCTCTGCCTCAGCATCATCCTCCTCCCTCACCTCGTCTGTGATTGGTAGTCTGAATTGCCTTCCTGTTATGATCTCAAAGGGAGACAACCCCTTTTGCCGTGGGTTGTGTGATTCTCATGCATGTTTCTACTTTCCTCTCTGTGGTCGCTCATTGCCTTGAGCATTGTCTGCAACATACTACACAGGCTCTACAAAAGTTTTTAGAAAATGTAATATAGTTGTATGTATGGAAGTGTTCATTTATTATTGTCACCATCCCCTCCTGTTGAGACATGGCACGGCCCATGACTCAAATGAGCTGCTGTTTAATAGAGACTAACGGGGAGTACTATCTTGTTGTTTATTCTGAATGTTCCCTCAGGGTCTGTGGTTAGTTTTTGGTCTAACATGTACAGGTTTAGGTTCACCATGCGACCTACATCACATTTTCCTTGTGACCATACGCATGGCGGCACCGTTTTCAGGACCTCTAAGGCCTCTTCACTTAGCATACATCATTGTTGTTCAGGGTCGTCTAGGTGGGCACGTGGTGTCATCACTAAGGTAAACCCTAGAGTTTTGCGCTTTAACCCGCCTCCAGTTTGCCATCCGTTTTTGTCATCTGTCCATTTTGTTATCCTGTTACCCCTAGCCACTAATAAACCTAAGTCTCTCCATGAAGTCCCTGGGCCCCTAGCTACTGATATGTGTGGCGTGGAACCTGGTTCCATTATCAAGGCAGTGGTTGATGGGACCCTAGCGTCAATTACAACATCCCCGTGTGGTTTGCATACATCGAGTGGAACACTACCCTCTGTGGTTGTCAGTCGATGCACGAGCACATCATAGTCTTTGTCTGGGCCAGGGGTGTTCTTGTACTTTAGTGTAACGTGCAATGCGTCAGGTTTCATTACTTCTTGGCCATGTTGTGGGGTGAATAGTGTTAACAGGTGTTCACCTGTGTTTGTCACGTCAGGTTGTGGCATGTCTAGTGACCAGTAGTAGTTGGGGGTGTTTATGGATTTTTGAAGGAAGACCTGGTCTTCCACCTTTTCTCCGGGCCCTACTGCTCGCATTCCCCCTTTGACTGGTACTACACTGATTTTTAACATTTCCATGCCGTCTCTCCCTAGCAAATTGACAGGGCAGTTTGAGATTAACACACATTTAAGGGATGCCTGGAGGCCTGACCTTCTATCTTCCATAAAAAGTGGCTTTGAAATCGACCTCTGATTTATGTGTCCATTTGCTGATTTTACAAACATAGTGCCAGTTGGTGGCCACATTCTTTGGACTTCTTTGTTCACTACTGATGAGTCTGCACCGCTGTCACATAAGAATTCTAATTTTTCCCCATTGATTTCGATTGTCCTGGTAGGTTTAATACTGTTGTCTGACAGATTCAGTAATACTTCAGAAAGGTCAATGTGATGTGTGCTGACGTCCTCTTCTTCCTTTTCTACGTCTAGTCAGTTGTCATAACTATGTAGGTTATGTGAAGGGGGGGGGCCATGTCTTTCGTCTTTGTACTGTCCCTTTTGTCCCCCTTCTTTGTTCTGTGGTATCTGTTCCTCACAGTCCCTCGCCATGTGCCCCTCCTTTCCGCACCTGTAGCAGAGGAATTTTCCTTCTGCGTTTCTGCCTCCTCCTCTGCCTCTGCCTGTTCCTCTACCATTCCCTCGTCCTCTGTTAAACCCGCCTCTCCCCTGTCCTGGTCCCACAAAGAAAATCTGATTTTCTCCCCATCTTCTCCTATGAAGAAAGCTGATGCTGACGCTTTCTTATGTCTTTTTTCTTTGATCTGGGTTGCTGCATGTACTAATGGATAAGCATCACCCTGATATGCTGTTCCATCGAAGGATTGTTCTGCTTCTCTTAATTCTTCAACAGGATATAACTTGGTTTCCCCCTTATTTTTTCTGGTGTGCAGTGGGCTTAATGCATCTGCCATGTCTATGTCGATGCGTTTTTGTGTCTCTCTTTCCCTGTCTTTTCTCTCTTTCTCTTGCTTTCTTTTTATTCTTTGTTCCTGCGCTTTGTGTTCTTCCACTATCGCTCTCTCTTTCTCGCGGCATACAGCGTCAACTGACCCTGAACGCCCTGTCTCCTCGTCTGCTTTCACTGAAACAGCCGCTGCTATCATACCTTCTTCTGCTTCAGAAGAAGGTCCTTTTATGGGCTTGTTCAGCCCATAAAGCTGCAACCCGCAGTTGAGCTTCTAACTTCTTTCTTTTCTTGCCTTGTGTTGTTCCAGCTGTTGCTGCTCTCAATTTGTCGCTTAATTCTCTTACTGCTGTTTTCTCCAACTTTCCTCGGAAGCCGTACAGTTTATACCATTTGCTACAATAACTGGTGTTGCCATGACTATATATTTCCATATATCTCATGTCCCCTGTAGCGGCAGGCTTACTCCCATTGGACCCCATGATTCTAGCTTGGTGTTCCTACTGGACAACGTGCCGGTCAGAACCTAATTCCTAATTCACCACTAGTGTACTTCAACAGACCACAGAGTTTTTGTTATCACCGTTAGGTTTCCACTCTGTGCGCTGATTCCACTTGGTGACACTTTTACACACTGCTTTCACTCAATCACTCATAAGTGTACCCAAAGGCACGTCGATCCTCCTCCTAGGCGGAGTAGCCTTTCTCTATCAACGTTTTATCAACCTCCTTAACGGCGGAGTAGCCTTTCTCTATCAACGTTTTATCAACCTCCTTAACGGCGGAGAAACCTTTCTCAATCAACGTTTTATCAACCTCCTTAATGGCGGAGAAACCTTTCTCAACCTCCTTAAATGGCGGAGAAACCATGTATATCAACTTTTTATCTTACCCGTTATCTGTGGTCACTGGTCCGGTTGGATTCCGTCAATCGTGCCGAGGATGAGGGAGGTTGGACATATAAGCACCGGCCCGGCCACGAATTCTGCGTCCCGGGTCTTTCTCGGGGTCGGCTGATGATCCCGGCTGTCGACAGACTTGCGGCGTGTCTTTTCCCTCCTCCTTCCCGTCACGATGTGTTGGAATCCGGCTCGAAGGACCAATTAATGTGGGGTATCTATATTACTTTGTAAGAGTAAACCACATCTCGGTTCAAATATACCAAAACCCAGTGAACAAAGATAACAGGACTCATGTTTCCAGTTTACTTGCTGCAAGGAGAGTCAGCGAGTGACATGCCATGTCAACTCCATAACCAACTCCCAGCTAGGAGAATCGGCCCTCAGCTAAGAGAACCAACTCTCAGCTAAAAGAACCAACTCTCAGCTAGGAGAACCAACTCTCAGCTAGGAGAATCCACTCTCAGTGCAGTCTTTTTATTTCAACAAACAGTAACATGAGACAATCATGTGGTCTTGACCAACGCCTTATTTGTTAGTGTGGATCTTGTGACTGTCAGTCATGTGAATCTGTGTGTGTGTGTATGTGTGCCATTTTAAACAGACTCTTCTTTGTTCCTCCATTAACACTCCTTGTAACACAGCAATGAGAATACATTATGAAAACACAGTTTATGAAAACACTTTTATCCTTCAATAAACTCTAACACAAGGCCACAGAGCTGTTTTGGCTACTGGGTTGAGACTCACACAAAGTCACACGAGAACTTCTACAGCTCAAGGCCAGGTGTCTAATAACAATGTGACCGTGTGAAGATTTCTTACCTTCTCATCATTTCTGCTATATAAGCTTTGCTGCCATATTGAACCACTCGCGCAGACATATTTTATACTCTGTGAGACCTGTGTCTATATCTTTATTGTATCTAATGTTTGTTTGAGGCCTCGAATAAACATCAACAGAAAGACAACTCTGTCTGATTCACCATTTATTTGTTGTAATCACTCTGACTTGTACTCTACAGTATTGGGGTTTTTGGATTTCCATAACAATTGGCGCTGCGAGCAGGGTCTCTGCAAGTTCGATTGGGAACACCTCCGGACGCTGGTGGTGGCCGGCTCCAGGATCCGCGGATCTTCCTCTACCCCGACAGAAACCGTATGGGACGAGAGGACCAGCGCCGGGGGTGGAACTGATTGACTTCACGAGATTAAACGGACTTAAAAAGGCTTTCCAATACTGGGTGAGAAGTGCAGTGTCTAAATTGTTTAAAGTTAAACGTAAGCAAACTCCATGACATCGAGAGGGGCTTCTCGAAGGGATATATATATATATATATCAGGGTTGATCCCGTCGTAGATTGTGGGTTTACGATCAGTTTTTGCGTGATTTGTACTGAGAAACTAACATCACATCAGGGTTGATCCCGTCGTAGATTGTGGGTTTACGATCAGTTTTTGCGTGATTTGTACTGAGAACACAAATATATATCAGGGTTGATCCCGTCGTAGATTGTGGGTTACGATCAGTTTTTTGCGTGATTTGTACTGAGAAACTAACATCACATCATCGATGTTGTCATGGGAGCAAGGCAAAGTAGGGGGCTTGTACACCCTCCTGAGGGCCCGATTGTAGATGTCATGAGAGTAAAATATGGTGAGGACAGTCTGTCTAAATTAAATATATGGACGGAAATGTTCGGATTTCCAAAGGGAGGTTTCTTTGAGTAAATTAAAAATCAAGAACCTAAAGAATAAATTACAAGAACATGAAGATGAAATAAAGGGTAAAAAAAAGAAAAAAAAAAGTAAAAGACTTATAGAACACTGGACATTCAAAGAAAAAAATAACATAAGGAAAAAAAATTAAAACCGATTTTTCCATGCAGTTTTTCAACTGAAGTAATATATGTTTAACAAACCAATGAAAACAATTATATATTATGCAAAACTATAAAATACAATACACACACATTTGACCCCCTTGGTGGTTATAGGAATATTTGATATAAAATTGTGTTTTCTATTTAACTTATTGTTCTAAGATTGTTTTTGTAATCATGCATGGTTTATTTTTAACCTTTTTTAAAAAAAAATGTAAAGTCTCACGTACCCCCTGCAGTCCCCCAACGTACCCCTAGGGGTCCGTGTACCCCCATTTGAGAATCACTGCTCTACGGTGGGGATCAGTCCGGGAGTCCGTTTGGGGCAATGTTGACAACAACTGCACCGAAAGACCCAGCTGAAGCCGCTCCCCCCCCCCGCTCCCCCTGGAGACGGACCATTTGGCCAACTTTGGGACTGTTTGAGCAACTTGGGAAATAGGAAGGGCTATGGTGCGCTTTTGACCACCCAGGTGCGAAGACCATCGAATTTTAGGCCCATCCAGACACTTTTGGGTGAAACGGCCCTTTAACCAGTTAAGCCCCATTCCCCCGGTACCGGGGCAAAACGCAACATCTTGCAAGAAACAGCGTCTGAGGGATTCTTAACATGTAACAAACTATGAATGTGTCTTATCCACTTAACGGGAAGAAACTCAGCTATCAGACAATATTAAAAACATTTTGCTAAACGAAACACAAGGGTAATAACAAAGGCCCTTAGCAAAAAAATGCTAATGCACTTAGCACAGAGCTCACGGTAAAATACCCCTATTAATTATCGGATCTGCACAAACAAGATATCGATTAGCAAGCTGAGATTCCACAGATTCCAGAAATATAAGTATCATCACTGAGCGATCAAAACTCGTGGGGAAGCAAACCCAGACATCACACCACGTAGCTTTGCGGAGCAAACACTTGACATTGTCTTACCTTTGCTGTTGTTCTGATCAAAAGTTGTGTTCAATGGCATTAAAACGATAAAAACGCTGCTGAAGGTTGATCCATAGGTTAATCCAATGTGTCTGTGTCACTTTGAAAGCTTCCGGTTTTGGGCATTCTGGCTATGCATCACTCATTCACCAATGGGTAATGTTTAGATGGATTTTAGGAACCTCCCCTCGATTGTATTGGCTCTAACGGTTAAAAAGAGGTGTCAATCATCAAAATCGACCAAGGGGGGCCAGAGATATGGAAAATCCACCAAATGACCCCAGAGCTGTTTTTTTCTTTCTAAATCTCTCTAAAAAAGTCAAATGTCACTTGTTTTGCATCAATCTTGATACAGGGTACTTATTATATGTTATAATTTGGATTCCTAAAACTTTTAGTCTACAATCCCATCATTCATACTATGTTCAATCTGAATTTACTTTAAAATAAAATAAATTGGATATTGATTCTGACTTTTATACATCCAACTCACAGGTTTATCATTGCTTTTAGAACAAAGATTATTAATTTACCCCTTTTAGAAGTGAATATATAGTCAATTGTTCTGGGAATGTCATTTTCGAGCCAGAGGCCTGAAAAACAGGCTGGGGGCTTAACTGGTTAATTGGGGGGGTCCGGATCGGTTCGAGTGAAATGCCCATTGGACGAATGGCAAGTGGACAAAGTTGCTCGAAGTGGATACCAGCAGTGTGGACGTAGCGCCTCCAACACTCGGACGTCGGTCTGCGCGCACGCCATGGCACTGCCGAGTTAGCGAAGTGTACGTCGCTTGTCCAACGCTAGTTTGTACACTGCCAAAGTATTTACCATTCTACCAGCGTCCATGAGGTCGGAGGTTCCCTTCCTGCAGGGCCTAAGTCAATGCAAACTAACCGTATTATTTCAAGGTTTGGGGGTATACCGTTGAAACACTGGGAACTTAAATCCTTGGGACAGACCTCTTGATGTGCCAAGTTTTAAGCAAATCGCAAGAACTCTAATTCATCAGTTAAACCGGTTGGTGGCCTGAAAGCTTGTAGATCATCTTGTTTGTCACCAGTGAAGTCCCTATTTTAGTCAATGGCATAGTCCAAATCCTTGCAGCCAAGGCATTGTGAAGATATGACCCTATCAATGTACTTCTCTATGACCTCTTCAAACTCCTTCCGTTTTTGCCCTGGTAGTAACTGCAGCCCTTCTGGCACCACCCTACATGTGTACAGTTTTACGACGTTCCATGGCCCACCAAGACCCAAAGGCTTGCTTCTTCAGCTTGATAAACTCTTTCACTGTTGGAGTCCACCAACAATTCTTAAGTTGTTGCCACAACAAACACCAACCAACTCCAGCCACAACTCCTGGAAGCCCCCACCACAATAGAGGTTTTCATATGATTTAAAAACAACCAACCGTGGATTTTTGGCAGAGGGTGTTGTGGTTTCAAATACACTTGAACCACCCTTTGTTTGAACATAATATGTGTTACGTCCAAGTTAGTCCATAAAAGTCAACCCAAACATTTTTTATTTGGGGATGGAACATTTGGCAGAGAGTGGTTCTCCAACAAAACCATAATCCACAAAAAAGGTTTGAGTCTTATTGTGATTAATAAAGATATTTTTGTATCGATCACAGAACAACTTGACAGTCACATAACTTGAGCAAAGCAAGTGGAACAACATCTATGGGTTCAGGCCTCTAGAGTTTGATTAATGTGTTTACATGGTAGGAGCTCTTTCTTTGGAGATTTTAGATCCGCAGAGGGTACATTAGTGTTACAAATATCCCAACGACTCAAACAGATCAAGGTCCAGTTTCTGTTACTGTGTTTGACGGACCACAAGATGATAAAGAAGAATCCACAGAGCGGAGCTGTTCACTTTCTGAGGTGCAGGTTACTTCACATGAAACATTTCAAACAGGTTGTATGTTTTCATATCTTAATTCATGTATACTGTTAACATAATCTGCCTTGTTTTATACAAACTATTGATGGCTGGTGAATATAATGTGACATATATAACTCTTGACGGGCATGTGGAAGTGCAGAGGTATAGATATCTTTATTTTGTGATCATGTTAACTGCATATGTTCTGATCATCTGCAGTAATTCCACTATTGTGAGCATCATTGCTTTACACAGAAACCTCCATGAGCCTATGTACGTGTTCATTGCAGCTTTGATGGTTAACTCTGTTCTGTTCAGCTCTGCTATCTATCCAAAGCTTCTGATGGACTTTTTATCAGAGAAGCAGATCATATCTCATTCAGCCTGTCTGTTTCAGTGGTTTATTTACTACTCTCTAGGCTGTTCAGAATTCCTCCTGCTGGCAGCCATGGCCTACGACAGATATGTGTCTATATGTAAACCTCTGCAATATCCAAATATCATGAGGAAAATAACTGTTCAAATGTTGCTGATCCTAGCTTGGCTTCTGCCTGCTTGCCAGGTTTCAGTGCCGATGATAGTGAGTGCTAACAAAAAACTCTGTCACTTTAATTTAAAAGGAATCATTTGCAACAGCACGGTTCAAAAACTGTATTGTGTGACTTCAAGACTGCTGAATATATACGGCTTGGCTGTTCTCGTAACTGCATTAATTTGTCCCGTGCTCTTCATTCTTTTCACATACATCAGGATAGTTATAGTTTGCTATAGAAGCAGTCAGGAGGTCAGGAGGAAAGCTGCACAGACCTGTTTACCCCATCTGCTGGTTCTCATTAACTTCACTTGTTTGGGTGCTTATGATGTACTTTTACTTCGACTTGAAACAGATTTTCCCAAAACTGTACGTTTAACAATTTCTTTACAAATATTGTTGTTTCATCCTCTCTTTAATCCCATCATATATGGTCTGAAAATGAAGGAAATTAATAGACAGCTGAAGAGATTGTTCTGCAAACGTGTCTAATGCGTCACAACTGATGACTGAGTTCAGCGATGCTGTTGTGTCATAATAATGCAGGGATGTGATTTATTTGATCATTGCACGTTAGTTAGTTAATGTGAGGATTTGTTTCAGTAATGCAGAGGCACACTTTAGAGCAAACCTAACGTCATCAAGGTAATAACAGATAACGGAGCAATATTTAAGTTTTTCAAAACTCCTGATGAGGTCAACACTCCAGCAGCTGTAACTAAATCATGCTTTTCTGCGTCTGTCCTTACTCACAACATAGCACAGCTTGTTTATTCTTTTGTTCACTCTCAAATTGCAGAAATGGAACCCTGTTCTTTCATATTTGAAATCTTATTTTCTGCCTTTAATGTCACATAATAAATGTCATCGTTACCTCTTAAAAGCAAGACCGTGTGCTTTAAACTTTAATTGAGTGCCCTGCCAGACAAAGCGGATTCAAATTGTTTCTAAATAAATCAATAAACAAGAAAGATCATTGTGTTGTTGCCGTCAAATGGCTGTTGATCGCATGTGATTTCTATCATGCTTACATTAAGTATGGTTCACAATCTGCAGTTATTTAAAGAGGATGATCATACTCATCGGCCTCAAGGTTTCAATCCACATTTGAAATATGTCTCACCAACATTTCTATATTTGTTGTATTTTATCCGTATGGTAAAAAAAGAAAATCAGTCTTGAACACTTAATTTCCAGCATTCATTTGTATGCAGCAATTTATGGTCGAAAAGTCTTGCCAAATTTAAATGTAAAACAAAAAAGGCAAAAGTTGACAGCTTCAACTATAACAATATAACAGACATGTGGTTAGGCTCTCATATGTCCTCTCATGCTATCCAGCTATATTCATTTAAAACATTTGACTACTTGTTGATGTACGCATAGCTTGGTCCGCTTTTGGTAGTTTCTCCTATAATCTCTTGCAGGTAATGGGGGGATTCCTTTGCAAGGTGTAATTATCAACACCGCTCTCTTGTGTTCACTGTTTAGTATTGACACTGGACACCAGGCCTGGAGACATTCCCTTTCCCACTGCTTTAACTCGCAGTATGGTCACCGGCATGGCGTCACTTTGTGTGGAAAGGAGGTGGGGACACTTATTTTCAGATAAAAAACAACTAGTGTATTGCCTGCTTATGGTGCATTGGCTTACTATTTGTTAGCAACACCATTATGAATCCTGAATACCTGTCTTCCCTCTTTAATGGTGCAAACCTGACTCAACTGTTTGTTATGTACAAGGAGAGAAAATGTACAAATTGGACAAGAAGAAACGGTGTCAAGAGTTTGTTAACGTTTCTGATCAGCACATCATGTTTTGGGGTCATTTTGGAATAAGTAGGCTAAGGGGCAATTCTCTTGAGCTTACAATAACCTTTTGATGACTAGTGCAGTGCCTGTGCTCTACTGCTGCAAAGATGAAGCGATTTTAGCTTTTTCTGTTTTCTATATCTCTGCAGATTACACCACTTTGGTCCCCAGAAATACAGCGACAGTGAGTGAATGGACGAACCGCTCTCCAGACTGTACATGTTCTCTTGTGCAAATGAACCACTGCTGTCTTCTCCAGTGTTCTGTGTCAGTTCATGGCAATGTTGTCTTTTTAAAGTTTCCATCAAAGTTACTCGTTAACGTTTCATGTACTAGCGATCCTTCAGTTCCCAGGCCAAGTCCCTAAAGACTGAGCTGCTGATGCCCCCATGTTTCCCATATGTGTTTTTTGGATTATTTGTTGGCATTCCCTGAGGATTTGCTGCCTGATTCGCTCTGGCCTATTACTCCCGTCCAGTCTGTGATCTGGGCTGACACCTGCTGCTGAAATATATATACATGTTGACCATGTTGGATTGTGTTTCCTATATTTTTGAAGAGTACAATTTAGATTGTGTAGTGTGGAGGGTGTTCGGGAACGTCACACATTGCCTGTATGACCCTGATATCATTAGACAACATATTAAGAATTACGTTTTTGCTAAATACATTCTTAAGCTATACAAGAACATCAGGACACAGAGAGGCAGGATTTTGTAGTGTTGGCCTGTATATGTTTCTGCATTGAATAAAATCCCACTTTGGCTTGATCAGAGAGTTTTGTGTTTGGCCCCTCAATACAATTGTAATGTTTTACCATTTGCTGTTCTTGCTGTATTTATTATGTGTTTTAATAGTGTGCTGTGAAGCATGTATCCTTTGTAACTATAAGAAAGATATAATGATGATATAAGACAGGGGTGTCCAAAGTGTTGGGCCCCCCACTAGAAGTGAGGTATGTTGCCTCATAAGTTAAGTTATAAGTTAGCGAAATCAATCAAATGTAGGTAAATTACGCTCGATAGTTTAACATGCTTTAAGAATACAAGCAGTCTCATTTACTCAGCTCTCCAGAGGGTTTACTTTATTGTGTTGGTAGCTCATCCCTTAAAACAGAAGCCTCAGATTGCTGATAATAAGTCAAGTCAAGTTTGAAAGTGAGAAAAGGAGGGGTCCCAATATGGAGCCCTGCGGCACTCCACAGCTCATAATAAGGAGATATGAAGGGTCTATTTCAAGCTTCTTCTGCAAATCAGTTATTGGGCTTTTTTTCATCAACTAAGATTAGTTTGAACATGTTTTCAACTTTAATTGACTGAATTTATTAAAAAATGTGGCTTATTAATGTAATATATTTAAGATGAAAAATATAAAACAAGCACAAGTTTCAGGTGGGGTCCAGATTCCATTATACTTTTAGAATTTGCTGCGGGCCAATACAAACGGACTATGGGCCGCAGGCCATAGTTTGTACACCCCTGCTTTAAGATATTCAATGGACAACACAGTCTACTGCCATGTGAGTCTTTGCTTTTTCAATACGTAATGAAATATCATCATGCTTACATTACATGTTACTTGTTAGACGCTTTTATCCAAAGCGACTTACATACTCAATACTGGGCAATCCCCACAGGACCACAGGAGCAATTTGTGGTGAAGAGTCTCAGGGACACAACGACATGCTGACTGCAGTGGGTTTTGAACCTGTGCTCCCTTGATCCGAATACCAACTCTCTATTTACTGCGCCACACGTCTCCTTACAATTTCAATCATCACCTACTGCCTGAATGTTCTGTTGTCCTGTACATAAATAAAGAGATTGTTACTGTAAGTGAATGCATTAGGACAACAATAATACAACAATAAACATAAACAAAGGCTGGTGAGATGTTTATCTCATGAGGGTTAGTTTATCTCATGAGACGGATGAGGAGTCCTCGTACAATTACTAGCTACGTTTTGTAAGTGATATGTTAAGTGGGGATTATTACTCATTAAAATAATAATAATAATTTGACCACAAGGACAATATTGTTTATGTTGTTTATTTGTTTTCTTCAATAAAATGTAATCGACTCAGGGCACACAATTACAATTAACATGTACATTTTTGACCAATATTAAATGAAGACATAAACGAGAGACACAACAACAAGTACATTTCAGAATGACCAATAAATATGGTGTGCTATGTTGTGAGTAAGGACAGAAGCAGAAAAGCATGATTTAGTTACAGCTGCTGGAGTGTTGACCTCCTCAGGAATTTTGAAAGACTTACAAATTGCTCCGTTATTGTTATTAGGTTGCTCTAAACGCATTAGACATGTTTGCAGAACAATCTCTTCAGCTGTCTATTAATTTCCTTCATTTTCAGACCATATATGATGGGATTAAAGAGAGGATGAAACAACAATATTTGTAAAGACATTGTTAAACGTACAGTTTTAGGAAAATCTGTTTCAAGTCGAAGTAAAAGTACATCATAAGCACCCAAACAAGTGAAGTTAATGAGAACCAGCAGATGGGGTAAACAGGTCTGTGCAGCTTTCCTCCTGACCTCCTGACTGCTTCTATAGCAAACTATAACTATCCTGATGTATGTGAAAAGAATGAAGAGCA